CTTTTGTTTAGTTTTCTTCTTGAAAAAAAGTTATTAAAAACAAGTTTTTGTCTAAATTAAGGTGAATTCATGGTTCCTTTTTCCACATAATGTAACTGATAGTATTTATGATAAAATAATAATAATAATAATAATTATGTGATCGGTATCGGTGATCGGCCCTCCTGGGTGATCGGAATCAGCAGGAAAAAACCTGATCGGCACATCTCTAATATAGATAATAAACACAGACTGCAGCAATATGCAGCTCAGTGTCGTACATCACACTAACCCAGATAAGGTTCTTTAAAAGTAGAACCTGCTTCAGAGTATTAAACAGAAAACACTATATTCTCAAACAAAAGCATACCTTTGTCTTCACTGATGAATTTCTTCTGAAATATGTCTTTGTCCTTCTCAGAAGCAATGAAGTGCAAGGCTTCCTCTTCAGGACAAACTCCTTTGGGATTCATTATTTCTGTGAAAATTAAAATATATATTAGACATGGTACAGTGTCTTAAAACCTTAGCTTGATTGAAAATGACTGTACAAAAGGCAACAAAAGCTTATTAACATGGGTGAATGAAAAGATACAAATCTTGGTATTTTTGCTTTACATACTAAATACAAGTGATGAATTTGGTAAAGTGTGAAACGTACCTGTTGTTATGAGCTCAAAACAAAGAGCAGAAAAATCTACAAGCTGGTTTTTGTGTCCAAAATGTTGCAAAGTGTTCAACAGAAGAGACAAAATAACAACAAAAAACAGTTGAAAGAAATCTGAGTTTGAGTTTTGTCCTCTCAAATGTGGCTGTGCTCATCAATTCCAACAGATCCTCAAAAATCTCAAGTAAAAACAGTAGAAAATGTGAGGTCTGTTCTGTCCTTCTGAAGAAGAATGTCTCTTTCTGCAAGGAGCCCAGCTTATATGCAGTCCTCTCAGAATCCAGGACATTCGAAAGAACAAAAGAGTGAATGGTTGCATTTGTTTTTAAATGGTGGTACTCACCATCTGCATTAAGCAAACGACTGGGTGCCTTATCTACATCACAAGTGTTAAACTGAAGGCCCACAGGTCAAATGTGGCCATGAGAGGTTTAAAGAGGAATTAGATGCAATGTTTTACTTTCATTATTGTAAGTTCTCTGATTTCAACCTGAACGTGTTTGGTACCCACAAAAACATTATAATCTAAAACAGTTTTTACAAATACCAAACGGATAAAAGTACAAGCATTTGAATCAACAAGTAATGATTCTAACTTGATTGGATTGGAGCTGAGGATGAAAAGGATGACTCATTTATCTCAACTCCAGCTAAGCTACTCAAAATTATGTAACATTTAAATTTAGTAATTACAGAAATAATTAAATACAGAAATATATCGTGTTCATGTGTTAGTTACATTCACTTTATATGACATTGCATTTAGTAACATATAACCTGTCATACAGTTACAACTGGCCCTTTGAGGGCCACAATATTGCTCATTTGGCCCTCAGTGACATCACTGAAGTACATTATTACAATAAATGCATAACAGTGACTGTATGTACATTTAAAGATTTTTAAGTTTGTCAAAGCTTTTTTCTGCTTTCTGTGGATTCTTTCATGCTACATTCACCAACTCATCTTGATGGTTCTGTGACATGACATGGCTGCACTTAAAGTACTTGGGGATTATTATAAGTTTTCAAATTGGCAGTAATAACAAATATAAATGTTGAAGTACGGTGTGAACTGTGTAGATATTAGATATATGAAGCGTGTCCTGAATGTCCACATATGGTCTTTATTCAAATCATTCTCACACATATGAATATTTTTACAGTACAGTCATGTTCAAACTCTACAAAATCCTTTCCTGTGGGCTGACAGAAACAGTTTAGACGATGTGATTTCTTTGAATTAACCAAGATCAATAGGAATCATGCTTATGAAACTTAATTTGTCTCCAGAACATGTTACAAGCCTCCATGTGGCCCAAAACTGTATAGTTAAATGTCAGTGTATGTTTATGTGTGTTTCATGCTCTGTATCTTTGGAAGGACAAACAGCAGATGTTCATGAAAGAGATTGTGGTCAGCCACTTTAAGAGGTTTTGGGAGAACTACCCCTCACCAGTAACACCAATAAGACGGAAGGTGATCTCTCAAAGGAGGAAATAACAAAAGGCATGGCTTCTTTCACCTGCATTTGCATCTGGTAGCTGTTTAATCCCAGGATGAGCTCAAACCGGTTTCTAGAGGGGAGGAGGGGCCAGCTGAATGTCCTATGTTAATTGGGATTGTCCAGACTTGCATATAAATTAGTGATGCTCCAGGCCCAATACCAGAGTGAAGTACTCTGATTTGATACAATATGGTAGAGATAAAACACCAATGAGTTATTTTCTGATCCCCCCAAAAAACAACAAAACAAATAATCAAAATAAATTCCAGTTTGGATTGGAGGTCGCTGTAGAGTTTTCTGTTGTCCGTCCCTTTAATAAACTGTGTCAAAAAAAGATTCTGTCAGTTTATTTTTTCCCATCAAATTTTTAGATGGTGCTCATGATATCTAATTGCATTTCATTTTTATTCTGCTTAATCAATATTCAACAAGTGGAAGAGAAAATGCACATTGTGTCATCATCAAACTGAATATATTTAACTTTTCTCTGCAGTGATGACGTTTTGAAAGATAATATTTCACCAGTTGAAATGATCAGATGTTGGCAAGACTCTTCATAGCCGTGGTTCAGCTGTTCTAGATCCGCTCCAAAGTCTCTGGTCCGTAGCTCTTCAACATGCTGCCGTCAGCTCTCAGATAGTGTCCAGATCAGAGATGATACTGTGATGGAAATTGTTTTATTGTTCTGTTCTATTTGTTGATAAAGTGATCTCTGCGATTTTCTCTGTGAATAAAGTTGAAACTGTCCACACATCTGCTCCCAAGTGGTCAGGTGTGTATAATCTATCAAATGATGGATGGTTGCCAGATTATTCCATCACATTGACAAAAAAAAAAGGAAAACTGTCAAAGACAGAAAATATTTGCCTTGCTTTTAAGCACAGGGAATACAAAACAAATTGTTTTAATTAAGCAGTAAACTGTTTTTGTTTTTAGACTATCATTAGAGCAAGCAGTGTAACTTCTCCCATTTTCAGATTTTGTCATGTGGGATTAGCCAGATGCCCACGCCTTCAGGAAGCAATCATTCCTCAGCAACTAGAGCCCAGACTCTCTGGATGAAGCAAAGTGTAGAACTACAGGCTGGTTTTTACCAGGCTAATCTGGGATGTGTGACTGATGGGAGCAGAGCAGGGTGGAACTGTGTGCTCATTGTGCAGTGCAATGTGTTTGTTACAGTCTAATGAACATCTGGACCTGACTTTCTTTCCCATCTTCTCCTCTATTTAGACTATAATAAGTAGCTTAACCAACGTCAAACATTTTTTGTAGCTCTCTCTATCATTATTGTGTGTTTTCTAAATCAATCTACAGAATATTTTCCCCAAAGTTATCAAGACATTGTAAAATGTGAGACAGGTCTTTGTGTTCTTTTTGGTCAGCTGTGGTTTTGGCCTTGGAACAGTCAGAGCGAGTCTCTTGTTGTTTGAACTTTGACCTTAGCCACGGCGGCAGAGCTTTAGATGTTGTTCTGGTCTTAAGTGACGTCCTGGATGAGTCGTCTTTTGGCTTTTGGAGTAATCATGTTTGTCTGGCTCCTCAGAAAGGTTCCCCATTGTTGATGTGGATGTTTCTCTCTGTGGCTCTCTGAACATCCAAAGACTTTAAAATGACTTTTCCAGACTGATAGATAATGACTCGTTGACTTGGTGTCTCATCTGTTGTTTATTTGCTTTTGATCAAAACGTGTTGGTTTGTGAGGTCTTCCAGTCTATTTCATGTTGCCAGACTGGTTCTGTTTAAGAGATAACTCTTTTGTTGTAATCAGACTTAAGCCGAACCAAAATCTGTGCATAATTTGATTTAGCAAGGAGGCAATGACTTTGTTCATATGGGGCCAGTTTGGTTTGGAGAGCTGTTTTACTTTATAAATAAAATCTTTTAAAAACGTATTTTACTAACTCATGTAATCTTTGTTTTGCTACAATTGTTTGATGATTTGAAATATTTAAGTTAGTAATAAAAGCAAAAGAGAAGACATATTAAGTGAATACTTAAAAAAACATTATTAGCAAAACAAAGTGAACACAAGGTTTATGTTTCTCTATAGAAAATATTTATTTTCAAAAATAACTGAGCACCAAAGATGATCAAATCTAGATTTTATCTTCTACAAGTAGCAGCTCCTACAGTTTGGTCTGTCACTGAGGATTTTAGTTTCAGTTGATTTAATTACACTGTTGCATGAAAAATAAGAAAAAGAGTAAAATTATAATTGTTCAACATTTCTCAGTCATGCACATCATCTTTGCTCTTATGCACTCAAGAAGCCTATTACTTCTGCACTGTAACAATAGCTGGCCCATCAGAGATCTGACACACACACACACACCCACACAGACACACGCACATAAACGTTAAGCAATGAGACACTGAAATCTAAACAGCTGAAGGTTCTGATTAGTTTATCCACAGATTATGTGAAGGAGCAAACAGAAGAGGATGTTCAGGAGCTGCAGCCTGAATCCAGGAGCTGATCCTCTTCTGATCTGCTGTTGCACCTCTGTCATGCCTAACAGCTGTGCAACAGGCATACTGACAGACACAGGCAGGCTTCTGGTGGGTGGTTTTCTGTCACCAGAAAGGTGGAGCTCAGACAGTGCATACCTCAGTTGTCAGGAGTTGCTATTGGGAAACTCAGAGGTTTAAACTCAGAGGTGATTCTACATGGTTTCATTTTGAGGGAGCATTTTTTTCTTCTTCTTCTCTGGGAAGATGACAGGCTCTTTTCTGTCAGCATGTAGGGTACAAAACCAGAACTAAAACATTTATTTGGCGATCCTAGTTTTATGAATAAGTACCTGTCAAAGAAATGTATTAAAATACTTAATTATCGGTCTAGAGCCTGTAACTCCAGCCTTCGAGGATTGGTCACCAGTAACTGTTAGCTGTGATCAACCACACCTGAATCAAATGAATCACTTCCTCAGTGTGCAGTGCCTGAGAACAGTTTGTGTGTCTACAGTCGTGGCCAAAAGTTTTGAGAATGATTCAAATGTTAATATTTACAAAGTCTACTGCTTCAGTTTTTATAATGGCAATTTGCATATACTCCAGAATGTTATAAAGAGTGATCAGCTTAACAGCAATTAATTGCAAAGTCAATATTTGCCTAGAAAATGAACTTTATCCCCCAAAACACATTTCAACTTCATTGCAGCCCTGCCTTAAAAGGACCAGCTAACATCGTTTCAGTGATTGCTCCATTAACACAGGTGTGGGTGTTGATGAGGACAGGGCTGGAGATCAATCTGTCATGATTAAGTAAGAATGACACCACTGGACACTTTAAAAAGAGGCTGG